CATTAAACGAAGTTTAATGCGTTCCAATACCTTTCCCCTACCCGTTTAGCGATGATTCCGTATAGCGAGGGTTAATCCGGAACGGATTAACCCTCGCTATACGGGGCACCACTGTATATAGATATTAGTTAGCAGGTTTCTATTATGTACGTTATATTGTGTTTTATTATTCCTGTAAGCTGCACCGAGTAGGCTTTGTCTTGGGGGGCGGGGTATGTTCAATAAAAGTAAAGTAAAGTTGTCTGCAGCAAACCGTATGCGGGCTTTCTTGTGCATCATCCTTCCTTCTGGGGACAACAGCCCTGGAGACCAATTTGATGCAATGTGTGGCATATGGTCTGAGCATTGACAGGCTGACCCCCCCACCCCTTCAACCTCTGCAACAATGCTGGCAGCACTCATACATCTGTTTCCCAAAGCCAGCCTCTGGATATGATGCTGAGCACGGGCACTCAACTTCTTTGGTTGACCATGGCGAGGCCTGTTCTGAGTGGAACCTGTCCTGTTAAACCGCTGTATGGTCTTGGCCACTGTGCTGCAGCTCAGTTTCAGGGTTTTGGCTATCTGCTTATACCGGCCTAGGCCATTTTTATGTAGAGCAACAATTCGTGTTTTCAGATCCTCAGATAGTTCATTACCATGAGGTGCCATATGGAACTTCCAGTGACCAGTCTGAGAGAGTGAAAGCGATAATACCTTCTCTACCTTAACACCTGAGACTTGTGACACTAACGGGTCTCATGACACCAGGGAGGGAAAATTGCTACTTGGGCCCAATTTGGACATTGTCACTTAGGTGTGTACTCTCTTTTGTTGCCAGTGGTTTAAACATTAATGGCTGTGTGTTGCATTATTTTGAGAGGACAGCTCATTTACACTGTTGCACAAGCTATATACTCACTGCTTTCCATTGTAGCCAAGTGTCATTTCTTCAGTGTTGTCACATGAAAAGATATGCTAAAATATTTATGAAATGTGAGGGGGTGTACTCACGTGATATACTGTATTTGGGAACTGGGCTTTCCATATGATTTCATAAAGTTATGTGAAAGAGGGCAAAATGTGTTGGAAGCAAAGATGAAATCTACTTTTGAGCAAAACTTTCTACAAGAAATAATTTACATCAAAGGTTTTGTTTCTCTAATAAATGAGATAAAAATAATGTCAACAAAGTAAAATAGTTGGCTTAATGATAAGGCCTTTCCTCATAGGAAAGGGAGATGTGGTGTCTGTGGACTGTACCCAAGCTTATTGCAGTGGAAGAGATTCAATAATCCCACTAATGCATTTGGAAACTGTGGTTAAAATTCCTCAGTGTGTTGAAACAATTACAGTTATTTAATATTTTATCTTAAAAATTTAATAAGCACTCTAAAATGACCTGTAAGATTGTTTCCCTATGCCATTGTATCATTTTGATTTTATTATATGAACATTAAATGAAGTGGGTTTTTAGTATTACCTGCAGACATGACTTTGGAAATTGGTTAAAATCCAGTTAAATACTTTCAATTGTATTACCTATTAATACTGTATGCCAATAATTGGATAGTTTTTGTTACAGATGAGACATAAGCCACTTGACATGCTGCTGTGAGTAGTATTTCCTTGAGTATCCTGATAGTGATCCAGAAAATCATGCAAAGTAATAATGGCAAATACCAGCAACGTGATGAAATACCACTGTCTTCTGATATTCTAAAATCAGCTGATGAATACAATGTCTCTTTTACCTATTTAAATTCCTTTTGTTTTGATCTTCAGATTTGGCAGTGTGGAGGGAAGCTGCTGTTTGTCCCTTGTTCTCGTGTTGGACACATTTATCGTCTCCAGGGATGGCAAGGAAATCCACCTCCAGCATATGTTGGATCATCTCCTACTCTAAAGGTAAAGCCTTTAAACACTATTGATGTGTGAATGATAAGTTAAACAATTTACACAAATTCAGACTTATATAAGGAACACAGCTTGGAAGTAACAAGTAATGACATGGCAAGTATATTACTTTTTGGAGTAATCAATGATCCAGTTTGTTACTTTGAAAAAAATAATGTAATTAATACTAATGCTAGATTTTTCGGGAACATTTAATCATTACTTTCAAACAGATTTTTTGTGAGTGGATATTTGTCCATTTTAGGTGATTAAAATAAATTAAAAAGTAGTACCTTAGAAGTGAAGTGTGTTTTTTTTGCAAGACAAACTGCTTGATATATTCACTTTTGAAATAACATTTCCAAGCTCTCATCAGCAGAGTCACTCACTAAAGCATTCTATCCATTAGTAATTGATTAAGTTTCTTAAAGTTTTTCCCCAACTCAGTTTTTCAGCTCTCTTGCGTAAGTGTGTTGAATTTGCATTACGCACTTTATATACCCTAGACGTTTTCCAAAAATGCACATTATTAATGCTTATATTTTGATTAATCACAAATTAGAAAATATAAATTGCACATAGTAAATGCTGATGTTATTTTCTCCCAAATCATACCATCCCCTACCCCTGATATGAATGGACTGGGACAGCTGGAAAAGTTGTTTAGACAAGATACTTATCTTCCCTGTTTATAAAATGTATACAGTAATGTTCTTTTTCACAGAACTATGTCCGTGTTGTGGAGGTCTGGTGGGATGAATACAAAGATTACTTCTATGCTAGTCGCCCTGAGACAAAAGCGCTAGCCTATGGTGACATATCTGACCTAAAGAAATTTCGTGAAGATCACAGATGTAAAAGCTTTAAATGGTTCATGGAAGAGATTGCTTATGATATTACTTCTCACTATCCTTTACCACCTAAAAATGTGGAGTGGGGAGAGGTAAGTGTATTGTTTTCTTAGATTCACTTCCTCATCCAAGCCATTATTTCAGAATGCCTTGGAATAACTGCAGACTTTTCTTCAGGAGGTGGGGGTGGGGGGAGTCTTTGTGCAGGGAAAGAGCTAGAACATTAAGGTCTAGATGTTTTTAGATTAGAGATGGCCATGAAACACAAAAATGGTGGTTCGTGGCTACCCATGAGTTGCAAACCATCCACCTTTTTAAAAAACCTACCAAAACCCACTTTTTAAAAAAATAAATATTTGTGCCTGGGGGGAGGAGAAAAACTAAAGCCCCCCAGTCCCAGCCCTCCCCCTTCCCACTGCCCTCATTGCCTCCATGCCTGGCCCTGCTGCCTCCTCCTCCATCACTGTAAATGAGCAATCTGGCATGCTTAGCACTGGATCACCCATTTGCAGGCCCACAGCCTGTCTACCGCCTCCCTAACTGGTCCTGTCACCTCCCCCTCTTCTTTTTCCTCCTCTTGTGCTGCTGCCATCTTGAGAGACAGGCCAAGCTTCCCTTCCAGAAGCCAGATGTGCAGTCAGCCGGCCATCAGCTGATAGGCAGATGCCATGTGCAGAGACTGCAGGTCTAGCTTCTGGAAGGGAAGGGAAGCTTATCTCTCAAGACGGCAGCAGCACAAGAGGAGGAAAAAGAAGAGGGGGAGGTGACAGGACCAGTTAGGGAGGTGACGGGGGCGGTAGACAAAAATCACTAGTTCGGGTTTGTCAAAATCAATGAACCTGAACTGACCTGAACCACAAACTGGGTGGTGGTGGTGTTGTTTTGGCAATTTCACCAACTTTTGGGCTCATTCTGGGGGGCCCCAGCTCCTGGAAGGGAAGCCAGGCCTATTATGTTTCAAGAAGGTGGCTTAGGCTACAGGACTAGGTAGGGAGGCAACAGGGACAGTGGGAAGGGGGTGGGGAGAGGCTGGAGGGGTCAGAATGAACCAAAATGTTTGTGAACTTGCAAAAAAGGTTTGTGGTTCAGGTCAATTTAGGTTCATTGTTTTTAACAAACCCAAACCAATTCACCAGCAATTTTTAACAAACTTCCTGGATTGTTTTTTATTTTGTACTCTTCTCTCATTTAGATGTTTTTATCTGCTTCCATTACATATCTTCAAAAGTTGTACACCTTCTGAATACAGCAGTAAATTGGTCTAAAAACAATGAAATGTTGATAGGCATCTCATTCCTTGGTATTGCATTTTTGAGCCGCTTCTTTCTAAATTTGAGATTATCATGGACTGATAAAATTTCTGTAACACTTACTATGTAATCCACTTGTATTGGAAACATTTTTAAGAAAGAAAATGTGGCACCAATTTTTATTGCTTGTATTACTGACTGCACATTAAATAATATGACATTATAAATCTGTTTTATCTTTCTAGCTCAGCAGTTTGGAAATTATTAAAGCAGTTGTTCTTGTCTGTCATCAGAGAATTTTGGGTCTCAGGTTCTTGGAAATCATCCACCCCTACATGGGGCATGATTTTTTATGCCCAGACACCTCTGAATAGATTTCATCCAAGCTGTAGTATATAAAAAATGGAGAGCTGAAACATAGTGAGAGGGATGCCTGTTAGGGCAAAGCATATATTTAGGGGAAGAAGACAGGTTCAAACAGGAGATTCTTGCTAAATACTAAAAGTGGAAGTGCAAAATTCTTTGTTGCCATCAAGTGCAAGAAAATGTTTCTATGGAACTGTTCCTTCATTGCCATAATTAGAGAAATGTCTTACTGAATGCCAAGAACCAGTTCATATTGCACCAACACACATTCTATCTCTTAGTAATTTTTAATTTTTCAGCTGTCCCTTGCACATGTGTTCTTTCTGCCAAAGAGCAAAGAACCTTGTGGCACCTTTAAGACTAACCATTTTATTTTAGCATGAACTTTTATGGCTAACACTTCTTACAGTTATCTCACTGTCATTGGGAGTTATATTACTGTTTTTATGTACATTGCCCAGAATAGTGCTGTGCACTAAAGGGGAGGTATATAAACGACGCGTGTGCATGCATGAATGCATGCATGCATGCATGCATACATACATACATACATACACACACACAGACACACACACAGACACACAGACACACACATACATACATACATACATACATACATACATACTACATACATACATACATACATACATACATACATACATACATACATACATACATACATACATACATACATACATACATACATACATACATACATACATACATACATACATACATAGGTGCAGAGCAGTTCAGAAAGGAATAAGCCAACAGAGGTCCGCCTTTCAAGTCTGCATGTTCCTGATGAGTTAAAATAATACACAGCATTAAATGATTCAGCACTTAGCTTGAAGAATTAAGACTACAGAGAAAGGTAAAAGCAAAACAAAACTAAGATTTTGAAGTAAGGTTAGTAACAACTGCAAAGTTCTCTGTGCTGTCACTGATATATAATTGGCTACTATCATTTGCCAAGTATATACAGTGAAGCATATTAAAGAGAAGCAATCTCTGGCAGAAGGTGCAGGAAGTTGCCTTTTTTAACATGAAACCTTTTTTCACTGGATATAGAAGAACTGGAGATGAATCACCCAGAGTGATCTCTTCTTTCTTTGCCTGCAAGATACAGGGTTGTTTTGTAGAGCTCATAAGTCATGCAGCAAATGCTTTCTATAAAAATGTCTTGGTAGGGCCATTGTGCAGAAACATGATTGAAGTATCTCTCTTTAAACCTTATCATTATTATGTTTTACTCCTTTTTATGCGTTCTCTTCTGGCTTTATAGAAATTTGGAGATGTAATCTTGGGAGTTACAATTGTTGCAAATATTTTTGGACCAGCTTCACTTCGGTATAGAAAAATGATTGAGGATATAGATACTATTTAGTAAAGAAAGGCAAACCTTCTTCCCATGCTTTTGAACTAATTGGCAAGCAAACTTTGTACACAAAGCTATTGCCTAATTTTAAATCTATTGCTTCTACTTTTATTAAAGAGCAATTACAATTTTTTCTTCATCTTTAATAACCCTTGATATATTGTGTGACTTTTTGAGTAGCTCTAGCACAGGGGTCTCGAAACTACGGCCCATAGGCCACATCTGGCCCGCTTTGCCTTTTTATCTGCCCCGGAGAATGTCGCAGGCTCAGGTCCGTTCCCTTCATCCTGTTCATGCGGGAGTGTGGGCATGCGTGCACGGGCGGGAGTCCGGGCGTACATGGGCATGTTCCTTCGGCCTTGAAAACGTGGAACATATATGAAAAGTTAGGAGACCCCTGATCTAGCATATTGAGCCTGGTACTTAGTGAGTTGTTTACATTGACTCAGAAATCCCCAAATACTATGTTTTCTCCTAACTTAGTTTGAGGGTCTTTATAATTTTATGCTCAAATGTTTAGCTATAGTGTAAACTTTAAATGTGTTTCAGATTAGAGGCCTTGAAACTGCATACTGCATAGATAGTATGGGGCATACCAATGGGGGATTTGTGGAACTTGGACCATGCCACAGAATGGGAGGAAACCAAGTAAGTAATCCCCAAATAAGACATTTTTAATTACAAAGAGTGCCAAGAAGTAATTAGTCTGTGAATTTTGTGTTTGAATTATCCCTTCTAAAATGATCATGTAGTTAACATATTAATGGGGTGTGTGTGTGTGTGTGTGTGTGTGTGTGTGTAATCTTTTGTTCTGAACCTCAGTGTTTATAGGTAAAGGTAAAGGTTCCCCTTGACAATTTTTGTCCAGTCGTGTTCGACTCTAGGGGGCGGTGCTCATCCCCGTTTCCAAGCCATAGAGCCAGCGCTTGTCCGAAGACAATCTTCTGTGGTCACATGGCCAGTGCGACTTAGACACAGAACGCTGTTACCTTCCCACCGAGGTGGTCCCTATTTATCTACTTGCATTTGCATGCTTTCGAACCGCTAGGTTGGCGGGAGCTGGGACAAGCGACAGGCGCTCACTCCGTCGCGTGGATACGATCTTACGACTGCTTGGTCTTCTGACCCTGCAGCACAGGCTTCTGCGGTTTAGCCCACAGCGCCACCATGTCCCTTCAATGTTTATAGTATACAACAAAACCCCATATAAAAATAAAGTAGCTATGGTTGAAACTACATTCTGGGGGGAAAACCAGGTGGAATTCATAGCAGCTACAGTCACTGTTCCCAACACACCCTGCAGTGATTTTGAAATGGCTGCCATCTTGCCTTTCAAAAACTGCACTAGGGCTTCCATCACTGTCCAGCTACTTGCAGTGCTGGGGTCAGGGCAGCAGGTCACCCATTCAACATGCAACAAAAACAGAGCTGCTGGAGCTACTCTTGGGGCCGCCTCTGGTCAGCTTCCCAGCTACCTCAAAAACTGGGAGGCTTCCTGGCTACTTTGCTAGTGAACAATAATGTTCTTGTATGGGAATGGAGACAGCTCCAGACACTCAGTTTTCAGCACGTGTTGATGAGTAGGTGAGCCCTGTCCCTGGCATCATCAGTAACAGAGACACTTCCCAGCAGTGGCTGGGTGACTGGAACTACATGTCATGGTTTAATGTGGAATAACATTAAAACAACATGTGTGTTGCAAGCAGATGTGTTCCTCTTTACTTTACTGTAGGTTGTTGCAAATATGTAGCTCTTGCTAATGGCTAGTATCATTACTCAGGAGCTGTGGATTAGAAGGGCAGTGTCATGAGCTTTCCTCCTACTCTTGCTTCCTCCCCTTTTCATGCCCCATCTTGCACTGATTGCAAGATTGATCGTGCCAGTAGTTGTAAGAGCAGTAATCCGATGGAGGGGAGGAAAGAGTGAAAGCCTGTGCAATTACCTTTCTAGTCCAGATAGGATACTGGTCTCAGACTACTTTTTAAGATCAACAATCTTTCTGTGTCTGAAAGGAATTGGGGTACAAACTCTTCCAACCAAAAAAACGTGAGCACTTGCCTTAATTTCCATTCTCTTCCATATTTGTGTTTCTTTACATTGGAGACTAATGCACAAATGGTTTCTGTTGGTAATTCATTCTAGACTACTGCTTCTACAGGGATGGTGATCCAGTCTGCTTCACTGACTGGATAACCAGTAAATTTCAAAGTTTTTTTGGGGGGGAATTATATTGACAAAATGCAACAAAATGGATTGCCTTTTTTTTCAGCATCTGTAGTTAACATTTAATCACGACGTTTGACTAATAAACTTTATGTGTTAGAATCTTTATTGCTTGTTTTAACATATTATATATTTATTACATTACTGATGTGTGGTAAAAATTCATTGGCCAGTATTCTATTCCGTAGTTTCACCTTCATAGCAAGAATGAGTTCAGTAGCTATGGCAGATTGATGCTAATTAAAGAGTTATTATTTTACTTTTGGATAGTGTGTGACTAATGCACAGTGAGACAAAGTTCTGCACAACCCAAAATTGAAGCAGGAACTCTAATTAGTGGCAATCTGCTGGTGGTGGTGACATCACTCCTGCTATGCCAGCAGAGCAGTGGAACACTGTAGTGCCCATTGTGCCATACGTCATGATATAAGTCCAAGCATGAGTCAATGAGGATTACATACATATTGACTTAAGTCCCAGTACTCAGTGGATTTATACTCCTTGGAGTAAACAACTGGATATAGCCCACTGATTTGAATTTGAGGTAACCAGTGACTACTTATCTAGTGTATTCTTACTAGAGCGCAGTAATATAAGAGCAGATGAGGAGGTCCACTCACCCTTCCACTGCTGCTTTGGGCTCTGCACTTCCCTATCACTCCAGAGCTCGTGGTCGACTAGCCACTATTCGACCTGGCAGGGGGGCTCGTCGTCCTGCCTCCTGCCAGGGGTGGCTAGTTGACTGCAAGCTCTGAAGCGATAGGAAGGGAGTGCAGAGCCCACAGCAGCAGTGGAAGGGTGAGTGGACAGTAATGAATACAGTTGAATACAAGCTGCCGTCTCCAGTTTGTATTCAAAGGCAGCATGTGCACACAAGACGTCAATGCTACCCAGTTCTTATGAGTAAGATTGCCTGTATTACATGAGATTATATGAAAGATCCTAGATTTCTATAAAATTGAAAGACCTCCTTCTGCTAAACAACACCAAGAATCTTGGAATTTTGGAAATTGTGTGCATATACATCCTTTCCCTTAATTTTAACTAATGTGGTAAGTCATTGGGAAAACAGAGTTCATGGTGTACTGCAGTGTTCCCCAGACTAGGACTGTCCAGATGTTTTAGATTTCAGCACCTCTTAGCACCAGCAGGAATGCTGGAATTGAGCTCCCTGTCTTTTGAAGGTCAGGAAGTAGGGGAAGACTGGTATGTTACAGCTATGGCAGTATTTAATTATCAATGAATTTTTAATTTCATAATCAATGAATGCTTTGGGGATTTGGCTGGAATCATGTTCCCACATAATTGTAAATCCGTTGGCCATCATCAGAAGTGTACTCTTGTTTTCTTTCATTGCTTTTTGCACACAGCTTGTTTGAATATTGTATGTTAACTTCGCAAAGACTTGTTAAATATATGTAAAATTCTGTAACAGTTCTAAAAGCAAAAGGCAGATAGACTACTTCGAGTACTATTTGGAAATGGAAACTATTATAGTGCATGACTACATTGTTGTTACAGTTATTGGTGTAAAAGATTTAGTGTTAAGAGATTTTTCTTATTATTATTATTAGCTCTTCAGAATTAATGAAGCTAACCAGCTCATGCAGTATGACCAGTGCTTGACGAGAGGGCCTGACGGATCAAAAGTTATGATTACACACTGCAATCTAAATGAATACAAGGAGTGGCAATACTTCAAGGTAACTCAGAGGTGCTTCGTGACCCCATTTAGGACTAGGAGTCAATACTTACACCTTCTTTTTGATGTTAGTTTTAAGCAGGCTTCAGCCTTAGCATATATCACAGAGACATGGATAAGGGAAAGGGGATAGGGGCATGGAGGGAGCAGGGGAGAAGAAAGAAAAGCACAAAATAAAGGGAAAGGGGAGCTAAACTGGAACCCAGATAGGGAGAGGGAGGAATAGGATGACCTCAGGGAGAAGTAGAAGAGAGATTATATAGTTTGAAAAGCAATGAGGGGAGTGAAGAGAGGAAAAGTAGGAACAGACATGGGAAAGTGATGGAGTTAATCGGTGGTCTGTGGTATATAGGAAAAAGACACTCAGGAAAAAAGACAGTAGGGTAGTTTGCATGTTAGGCCATGCAGACGAAGACCAGTTGTGGGGATGGGTCAGGTTTTCAGATCTCTTGGTCTGGTTGTTACCTGGCTCCATACCTGGGGAAAAGGTGGGAAAGGGATTAAAAAAGAGAGGCAATCTACTTCCCAGCTCAACATGATGCTTCGTCTCTGGCGAATCCCTCCACTATCTGGGCTTATGTTTATGTCTCTATGAGGCATCTAAAAGGGAACTTTCATCACTTCCTCTCTTCCCAGAAGATTTGTGTTCAAAGAGAGGACTGTCATCTTTGCTCATTCTGCTCTGGATTCATTCAGCCACCCTTGTGTTTTTAGGCCACGAATGTGGAGGGCAGAGAACCTGCAGAAATGACGACAGTGTAGCTCTTCAACTGTCTGAAACACACTCACCAGGACAGGTCTCACTTACCTGCTGTAGTGAACCTCCTGGAATTTTACATAGATATGTTAAGAATAGATACCTCTGAGCACTTATCTTCATATATCTTAAATTTGTTGTTATTTAGTTGGTAGGTTGTGTCCGATTCTTTGTGACCCCATGGACCAGAGCATGCCAGGCCCTCCTGTCTTCCACGGCCTCCTGGAGTTTGGTCAAATTCATGTTGGCAGCTTCAGTGACACTGTCCAACCATCTCGTTCTTTGTCGTTCCCTTCTCCTCTTTCCTTCACACTTTCCCAACATCAGGATCTTTTCCAGGGAGATTTCTCTTCTCATGAGATAGCCAAAGTACTAAAGCCTCAGCGTTAGGATCTGTCCTTCCAATGAGCACTCAGGGTTGATTTCCTTCAAATTGGACAGGTTTATTCTCTTTGCAGTCCAGGGGACTGTCCAGAGTCTCCTCCAGCACCACAGTTCAAAAGCATCAATTCTTCAGCAGTCAGCCTTATTTATTTATTTTATTTTATTTTATTTTATTTTATTTTATTTTATTTTATTTGTACTCCGCCTATCTGGTCATTGCGATTATGGTTCAGCTCTCACTTCCATACATGACTACTGGAAAAACCATAGCTTTGACTATGCAGACCTTTGTCGGCAAGGTGATGTCTGTCCTTTTTAAGATGCTGTCTAGGTTTGTCATCGCTTCCCCCCCAAGAAGCAGGTGTCTTTTAATTTCGTGGCCGCTGTCATCATCTGCAGTGATCATGGAGCCCAAGAAAGTAAAATCTGTCACTGCCTCCATATCTTCCAGGAGATGTTGAGCTTCAGACCATTTTTTGCACGTTCCTCTTTCACCCTCATTAAGTGGTTCTTTAAATTCTCCTCACTTTCTGCCATCAGAGTGGTATCATCTGCATATCTGAGGTTGTTGATATTTCTTCTGGCAATCTTAATTCCGGCTTGGGATTCATCCAGTCCTGCCTTTCACATGATGTATTCTGCATATAAATTAAATATGCCGAGGAACAATATACAGCCTTGCCATACTCCTTTCCCAATTTGAACCAATCAGTTGTTCCATATCCAGTTCTAACTGTTGCTTCCTGTCCCACGCATAAATTTCTCAGGATATAGATCAGGTCGTTTGGCACTCCCATTTCTTTAAGAACTTGCCATAGTTTGCTGTGGTACACACAGTCAAAAAAGGCTTTTGCATAGTCAATGAAGCAGAAGTAGATGTTTTTCTTGAACTCTCTGGCATTTTCCATAATCCAGTGCATGTTAGCAAATTGATCTCTAGTTCCTCTGCCCCCTCGAAATCCAGCTTGTACTTCTGGGAGTTCTCAGTCCACATGCTGCTGAAGCCTGCCTTGGAGGATTTTGAGCATAACCTTGTTAGCGTGTGAAATGAGTGCATTTGGAGTATTCTTTGGCACTGCCCTTCTTTGGGATTGGGATGTAGATTGATCTTTTCCAGTCCTCTGGCCACTGCTGAGTTTTCCAAATTTGCTGGCATATTGAATGTAGTATCTTAACAGCACCATCTTTTAAGATTTTAAATAGTTTGACTGGTATGCTGTCACCTCCACTGGCCCTGTTAGCCATGCTTTCTAAGGCCCACTTGACTTCACTCTCCAGGATGTCTGGCTCAAGGTCAGCAGCCACATTATCTGTGTGTCCGGGATATCCAGATCTTTCTAGTATAATTCCTCTGTGTATTCTGGCCACTTCTTCTTGATGTATTCTGCTTCTGTAAGGTCCCTACCATTTTATCATGTCCATCATTGCACAAAATATTCCTTTGATATCTCCAATTTTCTTGAACAGATCTCTGGTTTTTTGCTTTCTATTATTTTCCTCTATTTCTTTGCACTGTTCATTTAAGAAGGCCCTCTTGTCTCTCCTTGCTATTCTTTGGAAGTCAGCATTCAAATTTCTGTATATTTCCCTATCTCCCTTGCATTTTGTTTCCCTTCTCTTCTCTGCTATTTGTAAGGCCTCGTTGGACAGCCACTTTGCTTTCTTGCATTTCCTTTTCTTTGGGATGGTTTTTGTTGCTGCCTCCTGTATATTGTTAGGAGCTTCCACCCATAGTTCTTCAGGCACTCTGTCCACCAAATCTAGTTCTTTAAATCTGTTCTTCACTTCCACTGTGTATTGATAAGGGATTTGGTTTAGATTATACCTGACTAGCCCAGTGGTTTTTCCTACTTTCTTCATTTTAAGCTTGAATTTTGCTATAAGAAGCTGATGATCAGAGCCACAATCAGCTCCAGGTCTTGATTTTCTGACTTTATAGAGCTTCTCCATCTTTGGCTGCAGAGAACATAATCAATCTGATTTCGGTATTGCCTATCTGGTGATGTCCATGTGTAGAGTCAGCTCTTGTGTTGTTGGAAATGAATGTTTGTGATGACCAGCATGTTCTCTTGTCAAAACTCTATTAGGCTTTGCCCTGCTTCATTTTGAACTCCGAGACCAAACCTGCCTGTTTTTCCTTAAATTAGGTTTCATTAATTCTCCAGGGTCTGAAAACTCAGGATGGGAATCTTTAAAAAGGCAGGGGATCTGTCTGAATTAAGCAGGCAATTTGACCTAGTTAAAATTTAGATATTCTTAAAAGACCCAGTTGCCCTCCCGTTAAAAAATATATATAACTAGCCATAGAACTAATTTCACATTTATTGTATAGCTGTTGGTGTGCTGTGTTTATTAAGCATCTCTAATTCGCAGTTTTATTATCTTCCACATTGCTTATCTGTATGTTAAAGCTATGTAGCAAGGATGCAAAGTAGCGCTGAGACAGCAAATTAAATTGTAATTGCTTTTGAAATGTAAAAATCTTTTGTTTGGCTTTTGTTTTCCAGAATTTACATAGATTTACCCACATCCCTTCAGGGAAGTGTTTGGACCGTTCTGAGGTTTTACACCAAGTGTTTGTTTCAGAGTGTGACTCCAGTAAAACAACACAGAATTGGGAAATGAACAATATTCTTAGTGTGTAGACAAAATGGCCTGATGCTACCTACTGACAACTTTAATACAAATAGGACTGAAGATAACCTGAAAACTGCTGCAACTATTAACTTTGTACAGCTGCGAGCCTGGAACCTCCTGATCTGGATGAAGGACATAGATGGACTGTGATAGATATATCATCTGCAGTTAATGTTTACAAAAACTGCTCTTACCTTAAACTTCAATAGATGTTTACATCTCTTTTTGGTTTTTTGTTGTTGTAGGATGTTCTTTTTTAAAAATATGTTTGAGTTGATTGTTTGCGTGCTTTTAACTCTGTTTCTGTCATACTGGAATAAAGTTAAAAGTGCTGGGATGGATCCAAAGTGGCGCGAGGTTGCTTCTGCTCATGCAAGTTTTGGCTCCTTCCACTGGCAGCCCCCCCCCCCGAAAAAGCCCTTCCTGAAGGACATTCTGGAATGGCTGTTTGACTGGTGTAAAGGGCTGGGAAGTGGCAATTTCTTGTTTGAGTGTGTAAGTGCCTTACGCTTGTGCACAAGCAGGGGAATTGGATCCAGGTTTTTAATGTTGTCTTGGGATTATACTCAGGGGTCTGCAGGCAGTTTTTTTTCCTTCAACATTCACACTTGAAAAAGGCTGGAGTAACCAGACTTTGTCATAACTTGGTGATTATCAACCCGTTGTACATTGTTTTTACATCTTATCAAGCACTGCCACAGGTTTTCAGCCAGGGTGGCCTTCTTTCACAGTCATGCTGCTTTTTTGAAAGATGAATTTTCAATGTATTTAGTGCCTCCTTAATTTTTCCTTCTTGTCACAAAAACAGCATTTCTCATAGTATGAGTATGTTGAAATGTCTCCTTTCTGGGGGGGAAAGATGGCCCTCTTGGCTATTAAGTACTTTAATCTATACTAAGGTAACAAGCTGAGGCATAAGGCATGTCAGAAATGCTGCATGAGGGCTCAAAATAATGCTGGTAACATTTCATAGGAATCTTTGTAAAAGAAGGTTCTAGCTGATATATAGGGTAGCACTTAAACCCATGAACCACTTCTGTGAAATATTAAAGCAGCTCCAGTCTCCTATTCTGCAATATCAAATTGAAACTGAAATTTAGCACTCTATGATGCATTCACTGGAAGTCAGCACTTCATACTACAGCTAAAAACACACAAGCCCTTACTTCCCTGCTGTAACATGCCTTACAATACCTGTGTATGTCTCAATCAAAATATGTCTATATCTGTACCATATAGGAGAGTAAAACTGATCTGGTTCTTCACTTTTATAGTGATAAATAGAAGTCAGTTAAAAATGTAATGTTGAAACATTTCAAAAATTTTCTGAGTCATTTTACAAACTCTTGGCATATTAAGGAATATTAAAAACTAAGACCTATATAAAGATTAAAAATGGGCAGGTGAGATACGAAAGTTGTTTTATAAAGAAATGACTTTAAAACATTTCCGTTCAAGTAATTTAAAAGGATATTTGAACCTTAAATCTGAGGGCTTGAAACTTCCATTGGTTTGGTCCCATTACACAATTGTGTCATAACATGAAAAATAACATTAAGGATGAAAGATAAAAAAATAACAGATGATTATTCTTTTTTTAAAAAGTTGAATTTTATTGTAAAAATAAAATGTTAACTTTTTGGAAAGATAGTCATTCAAAAACTTAAAAAATACATTGAAGACCTACTTCAATATGCAATCCTAAATTCAACAGAGATCCCAGATTTTACTGGAATTATTGTCATGTAGTGGTCTCAGCATGTCATTGTGCACACCTAAATTCTAGTGAACTGAATTAGATTGATGTGACCATGTAGATTATCAGGTCAAGATTAAACTCATAAATGATTTGATTGCTGTTGCAAGTGAATCTTATTTTCCATAGTATAACTCCATCACTTTCTCCAGTCCTAAAGTGATGGAGAAGCTTTTTATAAGGCCAGATCTTGCTTGGCCTTAAAAGCAGACACATGTAATGTGATTCGAACACACACACACACTGGCATCAATTGTTTCAACCTTCCTTTAAAAGGTGTTCATTGTTAAATTAGAAGACAGGAGGAAGAAACTGGGGGAAAATATAATATGGGTGTTGGGTACATTTATTATTTGTATTAAAAATGATTTTCATTTTTCTTTCTTGGGCAAATATTAATTTAATCACATTACTATGCATATGTGAGGTTGCACATAGATTGTGCAGGTATGTGTGTTAAATGGGTGTTCCGTGCAATTCCATTAAAATCCAATACTGTGTGAATATGAATCTGTATTTTTAAATTCCAAATCTTACTAAAGAACACAAGCTGTTACTCCTAACTTTTCCTACTGTAAACTGCTTTTTAAAAAGTAGATCCCATATTCTTGCTTTGTAATTTGATCACTATGCATTTCTACACATTTTATAAATTTTGATTTATGCAGATTTTGATACACTGTATGTTTCTGTAAAGATTGTACAAATCTTCAATGATTTTGCAAGGGATAAACTGGGAACCTTATGTATATCTTAATTCTGGGTTGCTTGTTTTTTAGGTGAGGAAAATAAAATTTAACTTGTGGGTTTTACACATTTGCACCAAAACCTGTTTCTTTTTTTCCTTTGTGATTGTCACTTTGAATCCAAACATTTAACTCTGGAAATTAGGGTTTGAATCCCCACTTGGCCATGGAAACTCAATGGGGGGAGTAGAAATTCCAAAATCGCTCCTTACGTATCTCACTTACTTTAAAAGCCCTATTAGGGTCACTATGCCAATTCCAACTTGATGGCACAGAACAAATCAAATACCAGTCCAATGTTTATGACTGTTAAATTTGAACTGTTTTTTCTTCCTTTTTTAGACTTAACAGTGGTGCTTATCAGGTCTCTGGGAAATAATGGGGTCATAGGATATCTATCCATAAACTTGCAATTGTGTTACTCCATTGCAGCAAACCTCCTTAAGAGCAGTATAGCTACAGCCATCATGCTTCTAAAAGTTTGAATGAGACTGATTTTTTTCCAGTGACGTACAACCAGTTTCTTTGCATCACATTGGACGATTGCGTCTATTTGGGCCAAAATAGTGTGAGATTAAGGGAATATTAGGCTTTTATTGTGCCATTGTCCTGAAATGTAATATTACCACCTCCGTTTTAAGATTAACAAACAGTAATTTTGTGTTCCAGCATTAACCTCAATACAGTGGTGCCCGCTAGACGTTTGTGACGTACAACCAGTTTCTTTGCATCACATTGGACGATTGCGTCTATTTGGGCCAAAATAGTGTGAGATTAAGGGAATATTAGGCTTTTATTGTGCCATTGTCCTGAAATGTAATATTACCACCTCCGTTTTAAGATTAACAAACAGTAATTTTGTGTTCCAGCATTAACCTCAATACAGTGGTGCCCGCTAGACGCTTACCCCGCATGACGATGAAATTGCTTGATGACTTTTGCGATTGCAAAATGATGTTTCCTATGGGAGATTTTCGTTTGACGACGATTAGGTCCATGCTTCGCGAACTGATTGTTCCCAAGACGATTTAAAACAGCTGATCGGCGGTTCACAAAATGGCTTCCCATTTTTTTCTGGACCGATTTTCACAAGACAGCGATGGCAAAATGCCCACCCTATGGAGGATTTTCACAGGACGATCAGGTATTTCACCCATTGGAACGCATTAACCGGTTTTCAATGCATTCCAATTGGGTTTTTTTTTGCATGACGATTTCGCTGTACAGCGATTTTAACGAAACGGATTATCGTCATCATGTGGGGCACCACTGTATTTCTTCCAGTCTTTTGCTCAGCAATCCGGAGCTATTTACCAGAGCTTTGGTAAATAAAAGCTTTCACAATCTTGACAATTTAGTTGCTCCTATTAAAGGTGGCTCTTACAAGGCTTCCGGATTTTTTTTGATCAACCAGCATCTTTTGTTTTTTATAGTACAGTGGTGCCTCGCACAACGATGTTAATTGGTTCCAAAAAATTCATCGCTGTGTGAAACATCGTTCTGCGAAACACCATTTCCCATAGAGATGCATTGAAAACCGGTTAATCCGTTCCAATTGGAACGGATTGCCATCGTTCAGTGAAAATCCCCATAGGAAACATCGTTGAGTGAAACAATGTTTCCTATATTGGAATGTATTGAAGCCGACTCAATACATTTCAATGGCATTCCGATGTCTCTTTTCCCTCATTTGAAAGTGCCTTAAACTGTTTGAAAACTGTTTTAAATGCTTGGCATCGATAGTCCAGCTTGTGAAAGGCATGCAAACTTAATTTGGTGTTGTTCTGAATCTTCGTTCATTTTTGATTTTTTAATTTTTCCTCATTGAAATGTATTGGACAGTCCGTCCAATACATTGCAATGGAGAAAACAAAAAATCAAAAATGAACGAAGACTCAGAACAACACCAAATTAAGTTTGCATGCCTTTCACAAGCTGGACTATCGATGCCAAGCATTTAAAACAGTTTCCTAACAGTTTAAGACACTTTTAAATGAGGGGATAGGGACATCGTTATGTGAAAATCCCCCATAGGAAACATCGCTGTGTGAGGCAGCAACTTGATCAGAAAAAGACATCGTTATGTGAATTCATCGTGCGAGGCACTCGTTGTGCGAGGCACCACTGTATTACAAAGCATAATTTTTTAAAATTACCTTTCATCATGCACAAATCAGTTCTTTATATCTTATTCTCTCAAATACATGTTAAAAATCCTTGAAGGCACCACTCCACCTGGGAGAAGGGTGCTCCCATTACACCCTTAGAAACCCAGGACAGGTCAGGGGAATACTCACTTGACTGCACAATGACATATATTCCCAACTTTTTCTATACATGAAACATTCAGAAATGTGTCACCAATACCTCCCTTCTGGTAGTACTTACAGATGTTAACATGCATTGGACTCTACTAGTTTTTATAATGTCCAGTGAGCATTTCAGCATAAAAGCTGTTAACCAGTAGCCACCATCTACTGAAATTCTCATACCTACTTTATGAAAAGGGAATTCCATGACCACATAACACCAAGTGATTATCAATTTGCCTTCTCCCAGAATTCTAATCTCAAATTCTAACAGCACAACAAAGCTGTAGTGCTCATGGTAGACCCCTCCAAGAAAGGGCTCTCAACCTTGAGTCCAAGACTCTAGAACTTTGTTTTTTAAAGCTCATGTAGCAGAAATCTAAATCTGAGCTACTAAGGCCGTGTAATCTCTTATGTTAAAAGTACAACCTAAAAATTTCATTTATATTTACATATTTGGGAGTGGTCTGAAAGATACAGGACAGAGAAATAAGGCTATGCCAACTTAAAAAGTATGAGTTATGTATGCAGTATTCCTTAGACACCTGTAATACTGACAAGATGAAACGGGAAACTGGCAGGACAGAACACAAGCAAGTAAGCATATTTGGAAAATATGGGGAGAGAAAGAGCAAGAGTGGACATTTGTGGAGTAACTGACTGTTAGCACCAGTCACCTCCAAATACAAGTACCACGTTAGGAGTTTCATTTTTTCCCAGACCTAAAACTAGCAGATGTTCCTTCCTGTAAATAATACTTGGATAGGGAGTTACATAGCAAACTATGAAGTGGACAGTGTGAAAAGAGGAAATTGTCTATAGCAATTATGGGTTCTTAAATAGTACTATAGTATGAACTCACGTCCTTTAAATCAGCCGCTCTCAATGGGGCACATTTGAACGAGGCAGACTGAAAACAATTCTTCATGTTACAAGGTTTGCTATACTATCCTGTATGTCTTTCATGTGTTTATGGCCATGGCAAAAAAATGTTGAGACTGGCTCCTCTGAACTACTTTTAATGCCTCTCAAATCTGTTTTGTAAATACTCAACCTTAGATCTTTTAGCCCCAGCAAATTAAGTCTACAGAGTAATAATAATGTACATCATTTTATTACAAAATTGTTTTAAAAAAGTAATACAATGCAATAGTATGCAGGACAAGGTTGAATTTGACTACTACTGTTTTACTTTGCTCAAAATCAGTCACTTCAAAGAACCATTAAATATGCCAGAACAGGTTTTAAAAATCTAGAAGTAGTGGCCTTTTGCTACTACTTACATTAGAATACACGCCTCCCTACAGAAAATCACATTACCTATACACAATTCTGTACAGTTTTTATACTGAAGCTAACAATGAGCTGCACTTGACTTCACATTCTTAGCAAAATCATGGATCTGAGCACAAATCTTTACAGCAGGTTATAACTTTACTCTTCATCTTCCTCTTCCTCCTCCTCCTCTTCTTCATCTTCCTCATCTTCTTCCTCCTCCTCCTCTTCAGGTTCTGCCTTCTTCTTGGAACCTGCTGGCCTACCAGGACCCTTCTTCCCTACTTCACTCTTACCCTTGGCACGGTATGCTGCGATATCCTGCAATGGTGACAAAAAAACAAGATTTACACAGGCTTGGCTTGAAAAATTCCTTAGCTGTCTTGGGATACTAGTACTCTTCTGAGACATATTACATAAGTCTCTATTCTCCTTTTGCCTATACCACCAGTTACTTTTGTCTTTCTTCTTCTGAATATTAGTGTACTTCCTAAACACTTGAAGTACAGTTACTGGGGGACTTGGGCTTTTTATTTGTATTGCATATGCAGCCATCTTTTTCCATCCATGGAAATGGGCCTTTTTCCTCAAGAAACCTCCCAAGAGTGAGGAAGTGCTCAATGGCAACTCTCATTAAGAGTTACCATCAAATACCCTATGCCTTATGCCTAAATATTCTTTTCTGCTTTCTTTCAACATAAAAATTATTTACCAAATAACGGAATCACTGGGCAAAATCCTGTTCAAAAAGCTTATGCTCACATAAATGTGAAGTGCATGATTGAACTATACAACTGGTTGTGTAATTACCACTACTGTAGCACCAACACACTTGTGAAAGTGCTTGGTGGTGCTTTTGTATCTACTGTGGGTTTAACACTGAATTATGCCTGTGTAGCGAAGCAAAACAATTTTACTCGAGTACAACACAGCAATTCCTACATGCTACACTAATATAAAATGCATCACTAATTGAAGAGAAATAGCCTTTATTTTACCTTCTCGTATTTTTCCTTGAGCTTTGCCGCCTTCTGCTCAAAAGGGAGTTTGTCCTTAGCTGTTTGCTCAGACCACATTTCACCTAATTTTTTGGCTGTATCTCCAATAGACAAGCCTGGAATATCACTTTTTATCTTAGGGCGATGTTCAGAACAGAAAAGAAAGAAAGCTGATCTAGAATATAAGGAAACAAAAGTGTTGCAGATTAATGTAGTCGCAAAGGCTTTCAAGGCCGGGATCTAACGGTTGTTGTGGGTTTTTCAGGCTATTTGGCCATGTTCTGAAGGTTATTCTTCCTAACATTTCGCCAGTCTCTGTGGCTGGCATCTTCAGAGGACACTGAAGATACCGGCCACAAAGACTGGCGAAACGTTAGGATGAACAACCTTCAGAACACGGCCAAATAGCCCGAAAAACCCACAACCACCATGGTGCAGATTACTCCAGAAAATCAATCCAGCTTCAAAGCTGACAGAAATGTTCTCATATTTACACTGATTTTAGGTCTCAAAATAGGAACTGGTTGAGCTGCAGTTCCCAAAATATAACTAATTAAAGATAAACTCACGGTGGCCGTTTGGGGGCATTTGGGTCCTTTTTCTTCTTCTTCTCCCCTTTAGGAGGAATATAGTTTTTCATTTCTCTGTCATAACGAGCTTTGTCACCCTTTGCCATGTCTTCAAACTTTGACTTCTCTTTTGCAGACATTGTCTAAAGGAAAGAAAAAATATTAACTCTTGGCCGAGTTAATGGCTCCCATTAAACTATGGAAACAGCACCACTTTACAGCCTCAATGTCTATTTTAATAAGAGATACTACAAATCAAGCAAAACAAAGACACCAGAACAACTTAGGTTCAGGCTTTTCAGAAAGTTAAATATGTAGTACAGTGGTGCCCCGTATAGCGAGGTTAATCCGTTCCGGATTAACCTTCGCTATACGAAAACATCGCTGTGCGGGGCAGGAAAACCTATTGGAACGCATTAAACTTAGTTTAATGCGTTCCAATAAGTGTGTAAACTTACCCCCTCCAGCGATGTTTTCGCTCCGGCGGCCATTTTGGAGCCGCCGAACAGCTAATCGGCGGCT